TGGGGAGCCCCGCGGGGAGAGCGGGCGGTGGCAGTTGTGGAGGTTTAGTGTGCGTTGGGCGGCCGTGATCGAGCGCCACGATGCCTGCTGTGTCGAAGGGCGATGGGATGCGGGGCCTGGCGGTCTTCATCTCCGATATCCGGAACTGTGAGTGGCGGCTGAGGCTCTCCCCCTCCTCCCGCCGTTGCGGTGGGGCACTGGGTTGTTGCGGTCGCTGCCCCGGGGGAAGGGAGGGGGGGCGAGAGGTTGGTGCCCACCGTCGTCGTTGTTTTAAAACAACGCTCTGAAGCGAAGCTGCCGTGCCTTCGGGGTGCGGGTGGGTGTGTGGCGGGGCAGAGGGAGGCGGCTCTGGTCTCCTTCCAAATCCGTGAACGGCTTTCAATTCAAAACGTCACTGATGGAAAGCAGGCCTCTGTAGAGGTGCCTGCGAGCAGGCCCTTCTGCGGGTATGCCTAGGCTTGGCTTAAATTGCCTTTAAAATTCCGCTGTGACAGATATCGGGTCTTAGGATCTGTGTAATTAAAACTGGGATGGAGAGGGGTGCGAGTAAGTGTCCCCCTAAGGGAAGAAGGGGGAGTGTGCCTGTGAGTGTACAGAGCGGAGAGGAGGAGTACAAATACGCTGCTGCTTGGGGGTGGGAGAAAGGCGTACGTCGGGGGGCACACCTCAGTGCTCAGCTTTTCTTTTTGACTGAGAATTGCCTATGATAGCAGTTTAATATTAATCAGAGTTAGAGATCTAAGCGTATGATGTGGCAGGAATTGCCTGGGGAAGGGCTAAGGTCACTGTGGTTGGTGTGATGAAACAGCTCTTATTTTGTCCACCTGTGTGTGTCTGTAGATTACTTGAGGCTACTTTAAAAGCAACGGTAGTAAGGTTTCCTCTCTAACAGATGAGCCTGGCTTTGGAGAATTTTTTAATGCAAATTACGATGATTTAACTAGGCTTGTATTGGGATAATCACGCTGGCTCGGAACACTCTTCATGTTGATGACTTCTAATACAAAAAGCTGGGGACAAAATTTTACTGTTAAAATGAGACTGTTTAAATGCAGAGTTTCCTTAAACTAAATTCAAGTGATTTGGACTTCTAACCATGTAAACAGGGTCTTTGTCTGTAAAATTCAAGGTTAATCATCCTTACAGCAGAAGCTGTTGCAATGATTTTTTGGAACAGAGTTGCAGGTCCTTAGGTTTCTTCAGACTTCACTCTTGTATGTGTAGTAGGCTTATAAAATATGTTGTGTATCACTTCAAGGTTACGTGGGTGCTCTTGTGCCTTGTCTGGTTGGCCCAACTATTTACTGAAAATTTTCTAGTACCTTGGTATTCTATATAAGCTGCATGTGTAACATAGTTTCACGTGGTGTCATAGCATTTAAGACTTGCTGTTGTATCTACCCACTATTTTTTAAATTATTGTTTTCATTCGTTTAGCTAGAAGTAGTATGATTTTATTCTTCAGTGTCTCTTATGTCTTGCAGTTGGTTAACACATTTGTCCACCCTTGTTTTTAGTGGACTTCAGTTGAAGGGAACACAAGAAAAACATTCAAGCTCTTGGGTTCCTAACCTATGTTTAGAGATGTGGAATAACAAGATTTAAAGTAGTAGGATAGAACAAATTAACTGCTGATTTCCCCACAAGCTTGCCAGTGTGTAGACATTGTGTGAACTCGGATGGAACAACCACCTCTCTGTCCAGATTGGACAGCAAACCTCTCATGTTCTCAGTATCTGCAAGAGTGACAAGGATGTAACTCGCTTGTGAAACAAATAAAATGTTAGCACTTTCACTGTTTAAACAAATACTGATATTTCTCAAATGTTTTGTCCCTCTCCAGACAGCTATTTGGGAGCTGTAATACTTTTGTACCTTTTTCATCTTCATGATGAAGACAATAACTCCATCTTCCAAATAGCTGCGAAAGAGCTGATAGTTCCCACTACTAAGTGATCTATGCAGCTTCCAAACAGCTGTCTAATGGGCATTTGAATCTTTTTTTTTTTTTTTTAAGGGAACTCTGAGTGTTGCCAGCTAACCATGGGCTGGTCTATGCTGACTAAGATTCCCAAAAATACTTGAGAGCACTCTCTAGAGACTCTGTGCTTTGCAGGCACTGGTATTGGCTTCAGTTCCATCTCTCCCTCTTCAAAGTGGGGAGCTAGATATTTGTCAGGAACAAAAAATAACAGCTGTTTAGGTGAACAGAATGATTTGACTTGTAAATCTAAGAAAATGTTTCTGTTCTGAGATGGGAGGGAAGCTAGACACCAAGTGCAGCTCTTACCCTCTGTTTCTAGCCTTGAAGCTGGGCTAAATATCTGACAGTTGCACTGATGCGCAAAATGCCTGATGGTCTGAATTTCAGTCTTAATTTTGGCTTTGTTGGACTCCTTTATCTCTTTGTAATACTATCATAAGGGCCTGACATTTTTGGTTTGTTTACAGCCCTTTCAGGTTATGAGTAACGTTGAAACATGGTGTGTGTTTTTCCCTGAAAGATTTTGCACAGATAAGGAATCTGCATTATAGATGTTGCTGAAAAATGAAAATGCAGTTGTGTACTAACTGTGCCCAGGTGGATGCACAGCATGTGATTTCAAGGTAATAAAATAACCTTAACTTCAGGGGAATACTTACGTAAATTTAGACTGTCTACCTTTGGAAATGCTTAATCGTCTTGTATCAAGTCTTATTTCTTGGGCATTTGTACCTACAAACTCTGCAACACTAAATAATGCATCATTCTCTTACAAGTTTATTATATTACTGATTTGGGAGTGATGCTTGTCTTGCCTATCTGTTTTTACCAGTCTGTTGCAGGCTTGAAGAAAGTCTTACTTGATAGCAATTTTCAGTGCTCTCAATTCTAGTTGATTGTGAGTGAAAGAACAGCTCACGCTGTCCATCTGTCTTTAATAGTTAAAAGGTTGATTGTCACTTTTGTGTCTGTTAGGCATATTTTTGGCACTTGGGTTATCTATTGAACGTCTTAATCTGTGTGTTAAATGGTTCTATGCCACATATGACTGAATGAATTACTTTCTATGTGACTTTAAAATGTCTGCTTAAAATACACTGATTTCTCAAAAGTCTAAAGCTTTTCATTAAAAAAGTCAGCTTACTACTTGTAGCAGCAATCATATAATATTTTAAGGTGCAGAAGTGCTTCTTGCTCTAGTCTCTGTGAAACTGTAATAGTGACTTTTTCAAAGCAAAATGTTTTTTACAAATAATCAAGTGAATTTTCAATTATGTAAGAAAATGAATTATCCTGTAGTTCCTGATAGCTCTACAGAATTTTGCTTCAGAGTAGCTTCTTGTTGTAGGCTCTGTATTTTGCATATAGAGGTTCTGATGCAGATGGCAGGGGGGAAAAAAAAAGTTTTTAAGAAAATAACCCTATTAGATGCCTGACAACTTGCCAGTAGATGCAAGGGCTTTTCTAGAAAACTTGTGCAGTTGTATGTTTTTATACCAGATATGAAATAGTACAGCAAATAGCTTTTTAGCTTCCTTCATAGACACAAGAGGAGGAGAGACGTGAAAACTTTAGATTGAAAGCTGAACTGAAGTACTTGGTTAAGATAGCCCAGTTAATTAGCACTTAGTTAATGTGGCCCATTGAGAAAATAGCAAGGCATGGCTATGCTGTAAAATAGATTGTGGTGGTTGTGGGGCTGGAAAGCTCTGAATCCTGTGGTTTGGTGAAGTGCCATCCAGCCTTAGGAGTTCAGGTCAGGAAGAATCCTTGTCACTGTTTGGATGAAGTGCCTCATGAACTAAAACCTGACAAGATCCGCATGTGTTGCAAGCATATGGACTCCTGCAAGAAATTCTTAAATAGTATGATACATCTTTTTTTGTCTATGTACTGCAGAGCTGCTGAAGTGATTTGGCTTATGCAAGATGGTGCTTTATCAACCCTCCAGCTGTCTTAGCTGACAGATACATCATCAAGAGTGTTTTCATTTTTTTGAGAATAGCTTTATGCTTATCTGGTGATGAACTACTTTTAAGTCATTTGTCATTCAGCCTATTCTCTTGCAACAACAGTGTTACCTGCTATTCACCCTGAAAACGAGGAAAGCTTGCTTTTCTCCTTTCTTTTGGAGGTGGTAATGTAGAAATAGTTTCTATTACAGTATTAAGTGTACTACTGGTAACCCCCTCCTCCGCTGTAAAATCGGGAAGTCATCTGTTCTTGGGTTGATGAAATGGGTCTACACAGAGGCAAAAGCTGCTTTTGCCACAGGCTTGGAGGGCAAGACAGTTCTTAATTTCCCTCACTGCTTCAGATAACTGTCTTACCTTTTCAGCGTCACTTTAAAAATTGGACAGAGGGAGAAAAGATTCCTCTAGTTTGTTCTCCAAATGTTTCTGTGTACATTCTGTTCCAAGATACTGTTCCTTTCTCCTCGGGCTATATTTTTCCTTAAATAGATCCCAACATATATTAAACACAGGTCTATCTCTTCTCATGAAACTCAGTGCATTAATTCTTCTTTGTACTGGACAGGGAGAGTATCCAGAGGGTGAAGCCTCTTGAACTCTGACTTTAGTAGCTTTGCTTCACTGAGTTGGGACTGGTGCATCAGGTTATGGATAAGCAGGTGGGGATCAAAAAAGTGTGGTTCGTGAAATGCATCATATAATGATCACCCTTTTGGCTGGATGGTAGATAATGGAGTTCATTACCTGTGTATGTAGGAGGAGCATGCACATGAATTAAATGACCACATGGGTACGTATAACATTATTTGTTCTCCGTGAGAACACCCACATAGTGAAACAAACTTCACGTGAGGTGAGTTGCGCACACACATCTTGTTTTAGTGCTGTATGTCAGTAATACGTCTTTCAGTCTGTAGGCTAAAGCTACTGCAGTGCTCCTCTGAGGTGTAGGTTCTTATTTGCATTGGGTATAGTTTTAAAGTAGGACTTAAGTTACTTCTGTAGACAGTCAATTACTCTATTTGTATTCTTAGATTATTTATCTCTGAAGAAATTTGAAGGCAAGGCATCTTGATTTGCTCTCCTATTTCTCTTGCAAGGCTATGGCCACTCATCTAATAGAGACAGTTTCTGGCCTGAAAAAAGCCCTAAGACCATGCTGCTTAGAGCTATAATAAGCCCTAAGCCTT